TAAAGTCGAGGTACGATCGAGGAAAGCTCATCAGATCAATTGCCGTGAAAGTATTTATGGAAAAGCTACGTTACGACGGTTGAAAAGTGATTGAAGATGAGATGCCAGATCAGGACCGGTAAGTTTACAGATACTTCCTTCGATTTGTTAAAGAAATATTCATTGTGAAAGTTGTGGATGTAGTTTATCGTCATACCCAGGACTGCGTTCGGACTTGGTGGTTGGAAAAATTCCTAAATAAATAAATAAATAAGCCTCCATACACCCATTTCAGATTTGGAGACATCATGTTGCCCATCTATAAAGAAATCTTCGAAAGTTTACCCATTTTCGGTATTTTCTACAATTAATGTTCCAGTAACCACTTTCGATCCAGATATTTTCAGAGTCAATTAAAATGTTTCGATATACGAACAACAGTCGTGGACGGTCTCTTGGCTCTAAAAACCGTTATGTCTTTCCTATCTGTTCAAGAGGTTTGCTTTCAAGCCTAGCTATATATTTATTTGTTATTACTGTAAATGGCATTTTTATGGATACACGTGCTTGAGTAGAAGACCTGTTTTCTTTTTTTAAATTTATTTTAAACGTCGTGATTCTGACTACGGACCCGTACATTCAAGAAAATAGCCGTTAATTTCACACTGTTTAAAATAAATATATCGTTTAGAGTAATTAGAAATAATGTCAAATTAAAAATAAAATCCACCAATCTCTCATATATATATATATATATATATATATATATATATATATATATATATATATATATATATATATATACCCAAAATCTATTACTTGTATAAGCTTGTTTGACCCAACTAATTCTCTGCGATGGAGCGGTTCGGGGAAAAGAAAAACGTGGCTCTTGGGGCACAATCCGTTGTCTTATGAATACTTGGATGAGTATCACCACGGAATTTGTGAGTCGCGGTAGTATATCGAGTTTATTCAGTTTCTTCTTTGTCATCCAGACCATTGGTACAGATGATATGACGCCTGTGTTGTATCGAAACGGTTTGGGTTCGAATCTCGGTAGTGGACGAAAACGGCCGTCCAGTGCTTTCTGCTGAGAATTCTTCTAGACTCGGTTAATTAATATAATGATTTGCACAAAATTCTATTACTTATATGTTATACATTCTTTTTATAGATACAAATATTTAAGTAAATGCTTTGTTTATAATAAACAGTATTAAGCAACATTTACCGTCCTGAATGTTCGAGAAATTTTCATAGGATATATTCGTCCTCCGAAAATTTCTCGGACATTCAGGCGGGTAAATGTTGCTTAATACTGTTTATTATAAACAGAGCACTTACTTCAATATTTGTATCTAAAAAAAAAGAATGTATAACATAAAAATGTCTTAAAATAATTGTCGGACTTTGTCCATTTCATAATGTGTGATATATATATATATATATATATATATATATATATATATATATATATCAATAGATTTACTTTTAATCCGACATTTTTTAATACTTCAGACAATGGTATTCGGGAAAATCTCTTGAAAGCACATTTCTTCATTAAATATAACGCATCAGTATCCTCACTTTCCAGCCTTGACCGAGCTCAAAAGCGCTGACGCAGCCGTGTGGGTAATGAATTTTATATTATGCAACCCCTTTCCCCACAAACGAAACATTGATACTCTCTCTACTCTATCGTTTTTTCTTTGCAGATGTTGAGGCAAGCTATATTCATTGGTTCCACCAATCTAGACATTCACTGCTAAAACCCGCCATGCCTCGTACACAGTCACTTCCTCCCCATTCCCTTCCTATTCCATTAGTAAAGAGGAAGTTCCACTCAGATAGCTTCTTATCCAGAACTGTTATTTTGTGTAACAGACTCCCGAAAGGATGCATGGAATTTAAAGGTCACATATTGGTGTATTGTATGTTTGTGCGTGTTCACATATAAACAATTCGTGTAGAAGCAACATAAACTTGGCTTCTACTACGGACTATTCACTCTTTTTTTTTAATGAAAACTATAGAGAAACAAAGTTCTCAATGTCTCTTGGGTATGTCCGTTTTCTCATTCTGGTCTGAAAGTTAGTTAGTAAGGATAAGCATTGTTATAATGGCCGAGTTCAAGTCGGCGTTGCGCTGAGTTGGAACGACCAAAGTAAAGCTTGTGATTATTTCATTGGTGGCGTTTCGGCAAAACACGTCCGAACGCTATGCTTTGAAACATGGAAAGAGAGTTAAGTCGTCATTCGACTGGGATAAAGAGACTTTCTTCAGCGGTGACGTCTTTGCTCACGATCTGAAACATCTTGGAGCAAGAGGGAGAACAAGAAAATAAGAGGAAGGAAATGTTTGTCTATTTATAGAACTTAAACAGCGCCACTTAACGGTTGTTTGGTGAAAATAAATGAGGTAATAAAATTTCTGGCTCCTTTATTACTAGCATCATAGGAAAATGTGTTCTTGTTCTTTTATTTATTTATTACTATTAATTTATTGATTTTATTTCATTTTTCCACATATGCTTTTCCGGCCACTACAATTGTAAGCTTCAAACAAAAAGTACACATACACAAGTCTGTCGAATTTCTAGGGCGCATACTGAAGAAAGGAGGATTGAGAAATTTGACAGTCACAGGACAGATTGAAGGCAAGAGGGACAAAAGGCGCATAAACTACCTAGAGACCTTGAATAAATGGATGGCGGAATAAGGTTTAAGAGAGAACAAAGACACAAAATGTATTAAGAGCTACAAAAGACTGAAAACTGTAGAAATCCATAATTGCTAACGTCCCGAAGGAATAGGGCCCATAGAAAAAGATGCCTGTGTTGTCCGCGGCTGGCTTACATGTGCATCTACCAATTAATGTACGCACAAGCACACACAATCTGACTGAGTTTGAAACGAGAGTAGAATAATTCACTCCCCTCACACACAAACTGCTTACGGCTTAAGGCATGTAGATTTTATAACCGATTTCACATGCTTCACAAATGTTCAATATGCGCACCACTTCTGATACGATACACTTCAAGACGGTGGTCTAGCTCCTGCCAAACACACAGTAGCATGCCTTGCGTAACATTCCCCAGCATCTCAGTGATTCTCTGCTTAAGTTCATCTAGGCTTGTAGGAATATGGGGATATAGAACTGTCCTTTCACAAGCCCTATATAAAAAAATCACAAGGTGTCAAGTTAGGTGTCCGATCCATCTTCTTCGTAGATTCTCATTGAGATAAGTCCGCACAGTCAACTTAGTTTTTACACATTTTGTTAAAAATTGAGATCATTTGAGCGAGGATTGGCTATGTTGTTAGACTACAAAATAATGTATTTTTAGGTCTGCCATTGAATTAAAATATACACGTGTTAACACAAATGTTCATACATAATTTGAATAAAATTAAAATGGATATCTATATCACAAGGACTAATTTCTGTTTCCGTCTGGATAACAGTAAAATGTTCGACATTTTAATGTCATTTCTACGACTCATACTTAAACAGAATATGTTTTCGAATAAATGCAGTATTTTAAATTCAATTCAGATTTGAAATTCGATCATCTTATCGTCAGCGAAGGGTAGTCAGTCAGTTAAGTACCATACGTGATACAAGATTGGGCGATCATGTGTCTTTCGATACATAACTGACGAGGCAGATTTTTCTCGTAGTAGTTTGCCATTTCTTTCCTCAGTAGACTGGTTGCCAACCAAGGCTAAAGAACCCAGTCTGTCCTGCTATTCAACCCAGAGCTGGTGGGAGAATAGATGGATTCATACCTTTCCCAGGGTAATTGTGTAACTGAATTTGGAATTCGAACTCGGCTCTCAGAGTTCTCACTGCGAGCCCATATCCATTACACCACAAGGTACTGAATTAATAATAGTAAAGAAACTGAGGTGGCGTAATGGATAGCGGAACGGACTGAGGAATCGGAGAGCCAAGTTCGAATTTCAGTCGAATCCATTACATTCACTTACGTGCTAATACCCTTGAATTCTCCTCTTCTCCCCCAGCTATGAGTAAATAGCAGGATAGACCGGGTTCTATAGCCTTGAATGGTAATTGGTTTACCACAGAAAGAAATGGCAACCTAAAAGAAATCTGCCTCGTCAGTCATGTATCGAAAGATACATGATCGCCTAAACGTTTATCACGCATGGCACATAACTGACTTAAAGAAACTGGATACGAATACATGGCAAGAAAACAGTACAAATCGTGGCCAATGGACTTAATCGTTCAAATTCCAGCTACGTGAGTAAATTCGAAAATCTTGTTCGGCATCAGCAAAAGATATAAAATATGATAATTTGAATTACCAAGAGCAAGTAAAACCATGTCCAAGACTTTTAACAGTATTGGTAGATAACACAAGGCAGGATCATAAACGGAGACATTATTGTCGAATAACAATCATGAAGAAACATGATTAGTAGACATGACAACAAAACAGAACAGTTCATTGGCGATTGATTTAATCAGTCAAATTTCAGATCCTTTTAGAAAAGAAATTACGTAGTGTTTAAACTCTTTTGACAAGAACTGTCTCGTGGTTTGAAGTCTGGCAGTAAGTTACCTCTGTTTGCGATTCCATGGCTCCGGAAATGGATAGGGAGGGATTTTAATTTTCTCCTGCCGATTGGACCGGCTAGAATAAGCTGTCAGCATTGTTTAAGGCAGACACTTTATGCCTCTATTCCTTTCCATATATATTATCCATATATATATATATATATATATATATATATATATATATATATATATATATATATATGTGTGTGTGTGTGTGTGTGTGTGTGTGGATGCGGTGATGACAGATGAGCAATCTCGCAGAACTGTCTGCAACAGGTCTCTACAGCGCCCTCGGACAATACATTTGCATGAGAAAGGAGGACTTCTATTACTAAAACTAATAACACCACAATTATAAGCGATAGTCGTTATCGTGTGGGTGGCCGTGTCAGTAATGGTAGTGGTTAGAGAACGTGGTCTTAAAGGAAGTAATATTAGAAGAAGATAAGGGAAAGTTGCTGGTAGACGTCGAGGAGGACGAGCGGAAAATGAAAGAGCGAAAGGAAACGAGAGGAGAGAATGGAGACCAAGAGAGTAATAGGAAAAATTAGTAAATAAATGGAAGTGGAAAAGGCGACGATGGTTACAATAGAACTTATAACAATGTTAAATTAGTGTTAGCGATGATGATGTTTATAAGGAAAGAGATGATAACAAGAACAGCAGTTATGACGACGATGATGATTAACTCATTATGTTGAGTTCATCATAAATCATTAGATGAGGGAATAGGATTGTGGTAAGCAGAAAGTGAAATCTGATTCTTAACTCCGTATAACTCAAGGCCAATATTCAAGTGATAAAGAAGAGGAAGAAAATGAGAAGCAAATAGGAAAGAAAAGGAAAGCCTAAGAAAGAGAGTGACATTGGTGGGGGGGGGTTGGTGGAACAGGAAGTACTCGAACCCTAGCTTAAAGAATAGCATCTTCTATTTGGGATGACGACCCGAAATCAAGTATTCATGACAACGACGCTAATAAACATGGCGAGGAGGCAGTGGAGTCCGTTGCGGCAATTGGAAGAGGCGGTGGAAGCGGGGACTGTGAAAGAAGAAGGGTAGACTGGTTGGAGACGGTGGTGTTGATGGGAGGCAGTAATTAATAGGAAGACAATTTGCCGCCAGCCGGCAAAGGTTGAATCTCAGCTACTCAACACAAATGAATGAGTCCTCATCAAGTACTTATGGAGGAGTCGTTGAAAAGGCCCCGTGCCCTTCTTCCGATGAAAACGTGTCTGGTGAGTGGGCGGGAGAAAGTAAAATGAAGGTAGATAGATGGAAACAGAGAAAGATGGGGACGGAGGGGGATAAGAAAAGGAAAGACTGCTGTTATGCAAAGTAGACGAACAGTGAAATCAAATGAAAAACGTTTAATAGTTCCTGTCATCTGTATGCCAAAATTGGGATTTTAAGAAACTGTGCGTTTGTTTCCATGGCATCACCGCAACAAACTAGAAACAAATGTTACGGTTTAATAAGTCAGTGTCAAAACCGTGATGTGCAGGTAGTATATTGGTTATTAGCGCGGAAAATGGAATCGGCGAGCCGAGTTCAAATTCTAGCCGATTCTGTTGCTTTCACTTTCGCACTAATACCCTTGGACAAGACATGAATTAATATCTTCTGACTCACTAGCGATTGGGTAAAAAAGCCGAGCTCCCTAACCTTGAGTGATAACCAGTCTAAGAAGAGGAAAGCTTTGGATTTCAAACCATGGAAGAAGTAACAGCAAGACACTCCAGTACCTACTCTGGTGAGTGGGCGGGAGAAAGTAAAATGAAGGTAGATAGATGGAAACAGAGAAAGATGGGGACGGAGGGGGATAAGAAAAGGAAAGACTGCTGTTATGCAAAGTAGACGAACAGTGAAATCAAATGAAAAACGTTTAATAGTTCCTGTCATCTGTATGCCAAAATTGGGATTTTAAGAAACTGTGCGTTTGTTTCCATGGCATCACCGCAACAAACTAGAAACAAATGTTACGGTTTAATAAGTCAGTGTCAAAACCGTGATGTGCAGGTAGTATATTGGTTATTAGCGCGGAAAATGGAATCGGCGAGCCGAGTTCAAATTCTAGCCGATTCTGTTGCTTTCACTTTCGCACTAATACCCTTGGACAAGACATGAATTAATATCTTCTGACTCACTAGCGATTGGGTAAAAAAGCCGAGCTCCCTAACCTTGAGTGATAACCAGTCTAAGAAGAGGAAAGCTTTGGATTTCAAACCATGGAAGAAGTAACAGCAAGACACTCCAGTACCTACTCCCACGCCGACAAAAAAAACAAAACAAATAATAATGCCAATTCATGCATATATGAGATCTGGTAAAAAAAATTTTTATCGGGACTATTGTTATAGTAACGGAACTAAAAATATCCAGAATGAAGCCGCTTGACCCAGGTTGACCTTGAACTGTCGCGCATGCACATTGTTACCACGTTTATGATCACTTCCGTTGTTTATAGCAGTGCTTGGAAGTAAAAAGTTTTAATCAGTAACCATGTCTTGTGCCGCAGTTTTTGCCGGAGCACAATATTCCCCACGTCCGACAACCGCCATATTCTCAAGATCCCTTTACAGCTTTTTTCTCTTTTCAAAAGTCAGATCCCACTTGAAATAAAACATGATTTCAAGGCGTCGCGGCAAACGAAGAGAATGCGACGAAGCAGCTCCTCGCTATCGCAAAATGAAGTTCCAGGAATGCTTCGAACAATAGAAACGACACTGGATAAAACGTATGATTTCAGAAGGGGACTACTTCGAAGGAGATTATGTGTTTTAGCTTTCTTTTTATAGCACCAGTCCCGATATATTTTCATCAGGCCGCTTACAAAAGCGGTTTGGCAATGAGTTTACATGTCGGGGGAACTGCATCTTCAATCCTTTCAGGTAACATTATAGCGACGCCAATAAATCTACTCAAATATCTTGTTAGAATCATTTACCTCATATCTTATTATATTGATAAATGTTTACCTGATTTATAAACTGTTACTATGCTTGTAAATAATTTTGAACGGGTGTAGTGGTATATCCCTTGTTTCCTGTTTAGGATTGGGTTTCCGGTTCCTTTTAAAGACTTCTCATTCTCTTGTTTTCGCGATCTTAACACTCGTGACCTCTTCAGCTTATCTTTCCTGCATAAGGCTCTTGAACTTCACTTCTTACCCTTTTTACAGTCATACAATACTACGCAGTAACCCTCTACCTTGACTGGCTCTTGGATTTTGTATTGAATTAACATTAACAAAAAATTATGATTTATTATTTATATATATTTTTTAATTATTTTTTTTATCTATGAACCCTTTATAACTTATGATAAAGTCTCCACGCGAGCGAAACCCGCTCGTTTTGAATACTTGCAAAGGCACCTCTCATACAAAGCAGTAAAAAAATACAAACAATATAAGGATCTAATTGCTTGGTAGTAGCTCATATGTACATTATTATATTTAATTTATAAACAGTATGGACAAAGATATCAACACTGCATGGTGACTTTCATTTTTACGCTACAGAAGATCGCAAAAAGCGTGAAACAGACAATCATCAAGCAGTGTTGATTCTTATGTCTATACTATCTACAGATACAAACGCTCTATCTCCGATACCTCCCACCAGTCCTGACCTTTAATGTTAGGACCTGCCATGCCCCGTACACAAGAGTGAATCATCCCCATTTCCTTTTATATTTCATTAGTAAGAAGTAAGTTCTACTTGGAAATCTTATTTTCCACAAACTACTCCTTTGTGGAACAGACTCCTGGTAGGATGTTTTCCCAATCATCTTGACTTCTTCAGGCAAATATAGCATTTAGAAAGAATTCTATTGTTCGGATCCTTTTTCTAGTGTCAGGAGAGAATTTCATCTTGAAATATTTTAGGAAAGTCTATAACTGAGTGGAAGATTTTTTCGAGTAACGCATTTCGTCATTTAGGACTTCACCGGACTCAAGTGATGTTTACGTTAATGTGACAACACATGCGTATGAAGGAGAGGGGTTGTCGAAATTTTTAATTTAATTTTGTGTGTGTGTGTGTGTGTGTGTGTGTGTGTGTGTTTGCGTGTGTGTGTGTGTATTTAGCTATATAGTCTATCTGATTTCATGTAGTTTCTTTCTGTTTGCTTTTATCCCTTTTGTTATTAAATATCCCACGGCGTGATAATAGAAGATCTGCCAAGAAATTGAAACTATCCAATGTCCTCTGGGTGTTATCAAATAAATTTTGTGCTTCAATAAGGTGGTGTCTATAGTGATACATTGTGATTTTTTTTGTCTTCCTGCGTAGCCTCGTTACGAGACTGTGGGTTTTATACGGTGTTTTTTCAAGTACCGTGTCTTCATGAGTCTTCATTACGCCACGAACAACAAAACGCTACAACCACAATTACTGCCTAAATACACCACACAATCGTGCGCGCATGCATATATATGTGTATGTGCGTGTGTTCGACAGTATATCTGTAAAAGAACAATATGAAGAAGTTTTTTTTCTAAAAACAAAAAAAGATATTTCCAAAAACTTCATTTACTTTCGTTTATTAGATATTAAGTTGTACCACTTCATGTCTCCCATAGCTTACCCGACGGTTCAGCTAAAATGATGAAAATTCATGAGCGTTCCTAAACTCAAATATTGAAAAAAAGAAAAAACAATAACATTTTTGCTCTTGTATATGAATACTTGCTTCAAAGTAAAACCCAATCATTTGGCGTGATAAAGTCCCACAGTGGACGAAACGCGTCGGCTAAAATAAGTTTTACTTTTGTCTTTCGTGTATGGGTTGTGTGCATGTTTCTAGAGTTATAGGGATGTTTTATTTTCGAGCACAATCAGCACATTGTGGCCGTGTTCGTAGTTAATATTATTGGGTGTTGGCTTTTTCTTTTCTTTTTTATTATTGAGGCTTCCATTATGTTTAAGCTTTTTTACATGTGGATGAGGTTATTATGTTTGTGTTTTCTACTAGTATGTTTCAGATGAAGTCTGGTAAGTTTGTAAGTGTGTTTAAATGGTTTCTGATGGAGTTGTGGTCGGACAAGTGTAATGTAAGGCGTGTAGATAGGCATGTAGTAGTGCGACCGATGTAATTATTTATGAGTTCGGTTTAATCAGGAACAGAGTTCCTTAAGGGGCATTTGAACTTATAATTTTGGTTTGTTATATATATATAACTTTTTATAAATTTGCTATTTTATGGTGATTTTATAAGCATAGCTTAGATGTGGCACAAGGCCAAAAATATGGGCTATCCAGAGAGGATCAAACTCAATACTCAGTCGTAACTGATCTAGCAAGACAAGCTTTCTAATCCATTACATCATGTCAAAGTGAGCAAATTTGCTACTTTTATGGAGGTAAAGTGACACCTCGTTGTCGAGTATCATCATCAAAAGATATCATGGTGGAACTTACTTTTGCATTGAACGAATAATGGCTGTTTAAGCTGGAAGAACCTCTAAAAGCTCTGGCAAGCCTTCATTGATTATGATTGCTATTTGCAGCTACGAAAAGCCGTTCAGAATTCAAAAAAACTTTCTTCTATATTGGTTGCCACCTAGGGTTATAGGATCCATTTTACCCATAGTGAATAAAATATTAATTCATACCTTTCCTAAGGGTATTAAGACGGAAGTGAATGTAATGAACTTGACTTGAATTCGAACTCGGCTCTCCGATTCCTCAACCTGAGCCGCTATCACTTCAACTGAATGGTATGATTTTGAATGATCATTTTCAAAATAAGGACTCACTTCTCCATTTGAATATATTACTTCGGGATTTCTCTTTGTTTCTCTTTTCAGAAACAAACGGAACCCTAGTTTTCTGGATCTGCTTTTAGGGAAAAGATGGTAGGGTATATGCAATTGGCATCGATGGTCAGTATTCACTTCCAGGTAAGCAGGTCCTTACGTATTTGGAGTTTTCGGCGTAACACAACCATCTTTCTAAGCTAAGCACAGTAAATAACCACTAATATTCCTTTTGTCGTTCATTATAACCAACTATCTTTATTTTACAATCAAACCATGATCATAAACAGATGCCACTTCCTTTATGTGCCATGTCCTTCTTGGAAAAGAGAAAAGGCATTTTGTAGCTCTCCAAATCCCTCTCTTGCCAATCATTTAAACAAACCGCTGCCACACATGGTCTTGTGCTCCTGCTATACATTCAGAGATTCTTGATAAAATCCAAAGAAGAAACTGGTTCTGCCCTGACATCTCGGCTTTAGTCACTTTCTCACCGCCATAACGAAGCTTCCCTGTGCCTTTTCTATAAATACTTTCAAGTTTACGGTTATAATGAATTTTCCTCTACGTTACTTAGACTTTATGAAGCAGTACCAGAATGGCCGCAAAACCATTTTACAGCTGAATTCGCTAGATGTAATCGTAAATTCTATGCTAACAGTTTCAGCTATTTCACTTCTTGCTAGTGCAATTCTCTTCTGGCTTCTTGCTTCCAAGTCAACTTTGATTTTCAAAAATTCAAATGCAATGTTAATCGTTATCTAGTGTCTTCTTAATCCTTGTTCTTTTACTGTTCTGTCTCCTTTAGAGTATTTTTTTCATATTCTTGTGGGGATATTAGGCGGAAAAATAATCTCCGAGTGTCATGTCTACAAGTTACGATACAAAATTATAAACAACGCAAAGAAATGATCTTCACAAAAAAGGAAGAAAACCTAGCTAAATATAACAATAACATTTATACAGTAGATACATATATTTACGTACTGAAAATGGATGTCCTTTGTTGTAGTCATGAGGAGACCAAAAGTTTAATGTGATTTGTTGCAAGTGAGTCTGCAAAGTTTCGAAGTTATTTTGTTAAAGGGATCCTGCAAAGTTCAAAGTTATTTTGTTGCAAGTGAGTCTGCAAATTTCGAAG